TTTTATCTCACAACTCTCGTAATTACGGCTTTTAGCGAGCATGAGGGAGGTGAATGGTGCTTCTCAAACGGAAGGCTGCATCCTAAAATTCAGATGATCAGTACCGACTCGTTTTCTTTCAGTTTATTTTCGTGAATTTAAATGTGTGCAGCCTTCGTAGGATGCAGCCTTCCGTTTGAGAGACACCCATAGATAAGCTTTGTTGAACTGAAAAAGGCTCTGAATGAGGAGTCAATTCCCCTTGATGGAATCGACTCTCGATTCCCAATGCCTCGGAATCTATTATTTTTGGAATCGATTCCCAGCCCTAGCAAGCACACACACTGCATACTTCTGTGCTGCATTACGGCTCTGACGAGGTTTTGTTTCGTCGTCCATGCCATAGGTGCAGATTTATGTTTCTGCTGGTCGGTGACCACTGCCCACACTGCATAATGCGCACTTGTAGTATCTGAGAGAGAGGGAGAGCATCCAGTTTTGTTGACATAAAACTGGACGCGGCGGCGGCGCTCTCTCTCACTCATATAGTGAGGGAAATCCACCTGCGATCCTAACGGAGAGGTTAGGCTACTCATGGACTCAATATGTGCTCTGCAATGATAACGTGATCGATGCCTACAGTACAGTCTATGCTGATAGCTGTTCCGGGGCAGTTTTTTAGTTCTCATCTCCATAAACATATATATATATATATATATATATATATATATGGATTTGAGACTTTAGTCTTTACAACTTTACAGATCTTCTTTATGCACCAAGAGCTTGAAACACTCCAAAGAGAAAGGAAAAATTGAAATCGCATCACATGACCCCTTTAAAATAAAGTTGTCTATATTTAGCAGATTGTGTTTAACACGCACAAGAGTGATGATCAGGTCAACCCACAGAAGTATAGAAATTCTACATTGATTTTAAAAAAAAAACTGCGCTGGTATCGGATCGTATCGGAATTGCCCGATACTCAGAATTTTTGGTATCGGATCGGTTCTGAAAAAATGGTATCGTTGCATCCCTAGATCATACTTACTAGTTAACAGTGCCATATCCCTTTGCCTTGGTAAATCCAACAGAAATTGCTACAACGAGAGCAGGTAAACCTATAAAAAGGGAACAGAAATAATTGGAAAGTAGTTGAGTACTTTGATTAAATTCAGTTAAATTTCATCTAAGATTTTAGACTATAACACATAATGCCACACAATGTTGCTAAAATCAAGTGAAATTTTACATCAACTACCCAGTTGGGTCATTTTTTCAGAAGAAACAGATTATAAATGAAGATACGAGTCTAGAAGATACAAGACAAGCCTCACCCCAACCAAGGCAGAGGAAACGTTTGCGTATGATGCGGTTTCTAAGACGGCCAGTCACAGCCATGTAAGACTGCCATGCCTCCGTGAGAACCCAACAGAAAGAGGACAGGAAGAAAAAGTGCAGAAATGCAGCCACAAGAGTACAAACAACCTAAGAGCAAAAAAATAGTAAGAGAGAAAGAAAGAGAGTCCATCCATCAAAGGTAAGGATGGAATGTAAAAAGGAGAAAAGAGGAAGATTAAGAATATTTTGTTGTAGATCAAGGGTTTTATCAATTTATTTGTGTTTGTTTGGTCATACCTTGTTCCGTGTCTGAGTTTGTCCGATAAGTATGAGTGCATTGGAGGAGATGATGGACAGACAAAAGTTGATGAGGATGACAGAGCGTTCTGAGCGGATGTACCTGAAGAAAAACACACAGAAACACTGAGCCAATACATCTGAATGACTTCTATTGCTCGCTATCATTCAGCCACCATGCTTTCAATAGATGGACACATAAATGGAACCTGAACTGATGTATAATTTCTAGTGGCAACCAAGATGTGACACTGACCAAGTGAAAGCATCTGTACAGATCATTGAAGCACAAGATGCAAAGGAGGAAATAGCATGGTGAAATAAAAAAAAAGAAAAGAAAAAGGAAAAATAAATTTTTGCAAACTTTCAATTATTTCAAATATATTTTATATGAAAAAAAATAGGATTTATCAATGCAATCATAAGTATAAGCAAAGATCCCTATGTACTGTATATACAGACTCAAGGTTGCATTAATTGATCAAAAACAGTAAAAACAGGAATACTGGGTAACATTATTACAATTTAAAATAACTGCTCTCCATTAAAAAAAATATAAAATGTAATCTATTACTGTGTTACAAAGCTCAATTTTCAGCAGCCATTATTCCAGGCTTCAGTGTCACATAATCCTTCAGAAATCATTCTGATATGCTTATTTGGTGCTCAAAAAAATTTTTTTTTATCATTATGTTACAATGTTGAAAACAGTTGTGCTGTTTAATAATTTTGTGGAAAATGTGATCCATTTCTTTCACAATTCTTCGATGAACAAAGTTCAAAAGAACAGCATTTATTGAAACTGAATTTTTTTAACAAAGTAAAAGTTTTTACTGTCATTTTTTGATTAATCAATACATTCTAGCTAAATGAAAGTTCTAAATAAAAAAATAATAAAAAAATAAATGACAAAATCATTTAAAAATGTGCACCGACCATGGACAAGGCTGTTGGTAGTTATTGGAACTGACACTAGACAGAATGACCACTTTTGTGAATGAGCCAATTGAGAACAATTATCGGTATTAATTGGCCTAGCTGTTTAGCCTTTCACTAATAACCATGCTGAATAGTAAATAACAACCTGACTTGTTTAGAATTACATCACGTCAAACAATTGATTTGAATCTCAAACTCCAAAGCATCCCAAAGCTTTTTACACAAATACATGTCGCTGTCCATGGTGCTGAAACCCCCATTGCTTCCCATCAAGTAAGTTTCTTTTACTGGTGAACAGCCAGATTTTGTTTCATCAGCGGAAGATCTTGCTTACCTCCAAACAGACACATAGATGATGATGAGGAGGAGCAGGGTGAGGGAAGAGACCCCGCAGCCCACGATCAGTGTCACAGATGGAAGCTGGGTTTTATCCATGTTCTGTCAACACAAGAAATAGACTCAGTTAGCGCTCACAGATGCTAACGGTGCAACAGGCTAGCCGCCTGCTGTCCTTCATGCGATTCTGTGCAGAAGAGAGCTGGGGAGAGTGGGCTGCTGTCCGTGTGGCTCCGGCTAAGGAGCAAGGTGAGATGAAGGTCACTCGGTAAAGAGCTGATACTGAGGACTGAGATATCCAGAGGGCACAGCAGAGAGCTATAGTATAACAACCTATGACTGCTTCTAATGACATATAGACCATCGGAAAAGCTAAATGCCTGATGCTGTGAATTACTCATACAGTGATTGTGAACCCAAAGCCTCAAATATAACACATTTGCAGGCTTGCGCAACCATTGTCTTGGTTGCCATGGTGATGTGGTGGAGAAACAGCAGCCACTGCAGTGGTGTACGCAGCATTAACTGTACCATAGGTGTGAGTAGTGCATGCCTGTGTGTTTGTGAATATCTGCATTCCCGACTTACGCCACTATAATACACATCTAGAAATATTATCTGTTAAACATTGTAAATATGGCACAGCAGAGTTAAGGATGTCCATGGGTGTTACATATTCACAGAGGTGTGCACTTCTTACCTTAAGTCGAAAACACACAAACTTACATTTACACACAAAGATAATTGGTTGAGTTTATAGCCTGTCTTGTCTCCAGGTTTAATGTGAGCACAGGGTCAAGTTAATTAAATCCCTCTGATTAATCTGCACTGCAGTGAGGTCCCCACTGACAATCAAGAAAGAAATGCATCCTCTGAGACTAAGTTTGTCTTCTCCTGGCCAATCAAACACTTGACTAAGCCTAAGCTGTGGAAGACAGGCTAGTACTCAGAACAACCACTATCGAACCAAGGGAATTATTTAGTCCATCAGTGCAGACAGTGAGCCATAGCAAGTTGGGAACGGAAACTATCAAGCATACATTGAAACGTTTGATTTATATGTGTGTGTGTGTGTGTTTAGGCATCTGATAATATTCAAAATAATATAGCCAATATTCAAAACTATAATTGTTTTATTTCTGAATTTTGATGCAAAAATAACTAAATCATTAGACTACAACAATAAAAACTGCAATAAAATATGCATTAGGGATTTATATATATATCGGTTTCAAGGTATACCGCGATTTAAAAATTTCACGGTTTCAAAACCGCTAATATTTTCCATTATACCGTTCCTGCGGTATGCGCTGTTTTTCATGTCTCCTCAAAGACTGAAAGTGTAGGAATCCCTCAGGTTGAGTGCAGTGTAGAGAGTAACATGACCCTCCTCCTTGTGTTGGTTCGAGCGAGTAAGAAAATCCTCAGTATTGATTTGGGGGTTTATATGAATGTGTTTCTGAAGGGAACTGACTGCCTTCAGAAAAGTTTAGATGGTAGTTTCTTTTCATCTCGTCTATGTATAGTTAAAATGAAAGCAGTGTTTCAGCCATAGACTGTGGTAACCAAGGAAACGCCGTATGTGGTGTTCCAGAAGCGCCTCCTACTGTCAGAGAGTGAATATGCGTCTCATTCAGAGCATCTGCTGTTTGCTTCGTTTAGGCATGTAGTATAATTTCACAAAGCTAGTCAGAATAACTTGTTGCATCTTTCCCAAAAAGACTCATGGCTGTGTTAGATCAAAAGGGTGCTTCTACTAAATACTGAGCAATGGGTCTGAATACTTAGGACCATGTGATATTTCTGTTTTTCTTTTTTAATAAATCTGCAAAGATGTCAACAATTCTGTGTTTTTCTGTCAATATGGGGTGCTGTGTGTACATTAATGAGGAAAAAAAATTAACTTAAATGATTTTAGCAAATGGCTGCAATATAACAAAGAGTGAAAAATTTAAGGGGGTCTGAATACTTTCCGTACCCACTGTATATATATATATATATATATATATATATTAGATGTTGACCGATAGTGGATTTTACCGATAGCTAGGTTGGTCCACACTGGCCGATACCGATTAATCAACCTATAGTTTTTAAAATGGATACTGCAACTAAAATAGTGCTTTACTATTTTTAAAAAAAGAACCATAATTTTTAAATGAATCAAATATTAATATTAATTATTAAATTGATCATTAACGTTCATAGTTTATTAACTAATGTTAACAGAAAAAACTAAATTTTAAAAATGTAATAGCCTAAATGTTGAAATTAACAAACTCTAACTAGGAACAATACTTATACAGCTTTCATTAATATTAATGTTACAATGTTACTTATTGTAAAGTGTTACCATTTCATATCAACAGTCATGCTTAAAGATGGCCATCTTTAATTATCTACACAAAGGCCACAGCACTGAAATTCAGTAGCCCCTCACACAAGAACACAAGATCCAGGGGGCGTAGGGGGTTTGCTTCTATTTTAGAACACTTGATTATCTAATCAAAATAACAAAATATGGGTCACACACCGGGGAAAAGCGCAGCGTCGTGTCTAATACAAACTCGAGTAGCAGGTTATCACACACACATGACGCGTCACGTTCACTTCGAGCGGCGGTCTAAAACAGTTTATTTAATCGCCGAATAGACAAAAGTTCATTTCAAGAATGAACAATGCGGCATAGATGAGTTTGCAGTTTGGTGTTTAAAAAAACAGAGCCAACAGAAAGAGAAATCGTGATGTACATAGGCCTATAGCTCAATAGATGAAGCATACTTTATTAGAGCCACAGAAAGACAAACGTTTTGTTGAAAAAATGCACAATACACAATGTTACAGCCTAGGGTGAAGTTATTATGCACATTAATAACTATTTGGGACGAATATAATGTAATTTAATGGAAAACTATGTGAATGGCGCTCTGTTCCGCGGCAGGATTTTCTGTCGGCTGTATTTAAACAGCGTTTGAAGTTTCCCGCACTGTGCAGCGCGCAGCCTCACGTGCCAAAACAATCAACACGTGCTGTCAGTGATTTCCGCCTGTAGAGGCCGCTCTCGCACTGTATAATGGCAGCGGACCATTCTCAGCCACTCCAGCAACAGATGCAATGGGGCAAAAAAACGGAAACCGGAAAAACTATCGGCATGGATTTTTGCAGATAGCCGATAGTTCCAGCAATCAACTATCGGTGCCGATTAATAGGCAAAACCGATACATCGATCAACCTCGATATATATATATATATATATATATATGGCTCTGCAATAATCAATTAATCAAGCGTAGCATTAGTTCTGCCAGGTCATGTCAGTCAAGCTCGCGTCAGCTGATCCACATCTACCTATAGGTATACGACGCCTATCTCAACATTCATACATAAGGTTCTTCAGTATTATCAGCAGCTTTCGCATTGCTCAATAGCTAATTGCCCCCTCATCCAGTCATGGTTCAGCCTTATGATTCTCCTTTAAATCAGATGAATTTCTAAAATGTTACTGAATATTAATGGTATCTGCAATACATTTATGTTGGTTCTCTTCTGTTTACCCTAGGGGGTTATCACTGCTCTCTTACCCAGAACAGAACCATACCGTCATTCTAAACTATATGTTAATTGTCAATCATCTTTGACTATAGTGGTCCTGACAGAAATGAGTAAATAAATATAACTAAGCCACAATGTACTTGAAAATGCATGGTTATTTAAAAAGCTATAAGCTAAACAATACATTCAATAAGTACTAAGGACATTGGTCTATTAATATTTTAAAACTTGCCAAACTGTATGCAAATTAAGTAGGACTGCACAAACATAAATAATAGACTTGCAAAGGCAATCCTGAATCTTTTACAAGTGACAAGCAAAAAGACGATGGCCTACCTCTGAAGAATGTACTAACATGAAACATCTCAACACAGTGTGCGGTTTCTTTTTCTCGCCATCTTCACTGACCCATATTTGGGAATGATGTATTCAGAGCTTCATCCAAGTACAACTGCAGTGTAACTGTGCATTTCTACAAGCTTTAGCTCATAAATATTCAGTCTGGGCAAAACCACAGCAATTTTCTCATATCAAACTGCTTATAAAGCGTAAGACAATCTGACCCATGTAAACCAGAGCCTGGTTCAAAGCTGGAAACATCTGTAGAAATACTGGAGTGCGATTAAAATAGCTGCAGTGTACTATCTCCCTTTATTTCTTGTTTCTCTTTCCATGTGCACTGCAGCCGACTGTATATTCAAACTCAGAATGTTGGAGGGAAAGAGAGGAAGGGAAGTGTTTCTCTGGCTCTTTATCATTCTGAAGCTGTAGGATGCTAGTTGCCAGCGGAGTGGCCGTTGGATGGGCCATTTTGAGGTGGCAAGTGGAGCTGCAGGAATAATTAGCGACATAGCAGTGGGGGTCTGGAGCGAGAAGGCTAGAGAGAGAGAGAGAGAGACAGACAGGGAGTGGAGCCAAGGGGAGGAGCGGTCCACCCTTCTGCTGGCACACGGCTACTCAAATGAAATCCCCACAATATGCTTTCCACGAGGCATGGAACGAGCTAACTGCGACACTCCCTTATTCTGCGTCCATCTGACCAGGTAGAGCGGGACAGGCAGCCATCATAAGGTGAGCGATTAGCATACAGCTATAGCTCTCTGGATCACCATGAGGAGACATGCAGATCATGCGGTCTTTACACACACATCCATGTAAGCAACTAGCAGCACATATGCACACAGGATTAAAACTCTGAAACACAGATAAAAATGTGTAAAATTTAAACTGGCTATCCTAAAAACATTGCTTGAATGTACTGTAACATCAGCCTTTATCAGCATGAAATAAATATAACCCTATTTACTTTAATGCACTTTCCTGGTTTTATTGTGAACGAACAATCAGTGCACTTCATTCCAAATAAAAATAATTTGTCTTTTTAATCTTTAATCAAAATGTACCTCCTCTGAAATGACTTTCCTTTTCTGCTGACATAACTTAGGCCGAGAGAACAATTCAATAATGTTAAACAATAGCCAAGTAGATATTTCGGTGGAATTTAAGCAAAGTATGGCTCGCAAAGCCCACATTTCAAATCCAGCTGATTCAAAGAGTGAAGTAGCAGCACTCTACATTTTTTCCTTGAATATACAGTTTAACTTGGAATTTCACATTAACAATAACATATACAATGGAAAACTATGGATGTCAATGGGGTCCATCAATTGTTCGGTTACCCAAATTCTTCAAAACATCTTTTGTATTCAGCAAAGAAACAATTTTGCAAGGAAACGCAGCAAAGAGTCAATTTTGGGGTGAACTATACCTATATAAGTAAACTATAACTATAAGTAAAATTTGTTGCAAAAGGCAATTTACATTTGTTGTGGTTTTCCAAATTCCATATTTCCATTTTCCAATCCAACTGATTCCCAGAGTAAAGTAGGATATTTTTTGCATTGCATTTAAACAAACCACATTAAGCCAGTAAAATGTGCTACAAAAAGCAATTCATGTTTGTTGTACACTTTTTTGTATTCCATATTTGCAGCTTTGTGCACAGCAGCCTGCATGTAATGATGTGATCCTAACTCTGCTTTGTTATGATGTCACTTTTTCACTTGGTTTCCCAAATCAAAACAGTGTCACAACAGTGACTTCTGTTCCTGATGCAGCCAATCTGAAACATCTTGGCAGAGCAAATGAGAGAAGACATGGCCATTGTTTTGGCCAGTAGGGTGTCAAGCTTCCTCTTCCTCTTTTTTTTGGGGGGGGGGATCTCTGGCTCATATCTGGGCCAAGCTGCACAAAGAGAGTGTTATAGCGTGTTCTATAGCTTTAAGAACTTCCACTGCCCATGCTGTTTCCACGGCAACTGGTGAATAAACTGCTTCAGATGCAGTTTCCAGTCTAATAATAACTAATCACACTGAATGAAAATTCCACACAAAGACACAGCCCTTTCTTGCATTAAACCAAACCAAATCCCATCATTTTAAATAAAGATGCTATTTTAAAGGAAGACATATAGATTTACACAAAGACAACCCTCTAAGGCCAAAATGCACGGATGGTGTGTCATTAAGATATGTTCAATGTAGGCAGTTAAGACAGCTATTTTGAACTATTATATTATTAATCACATGCATTTTCTCTGTACAAACATTTAATGTATGCAAATCCAAAATGAAAACTAGAATGCTTCATGCACTGCGTTCTAGCATTAAACAAAGCTAGCAAAACGTTCCTTTTTGTCACAAATATTTGTATCTATATACTCAGAACACATCAAAGAATAAAACATGTCTTAAATTGTTTGCATTAAATCTGCTGTATGGCTCTGGTATGTCGTGGAAAAGAGGAGAGGGGGGAGTGAGAGAGAGGGATCTGTTGATACACAATGACAATGACGCCTATGACCAAAAAAATAAAAAAGCGGAACATTAAATCACACAATGTCACACAAACGCGTCTTTTGACGTTCTTCGGCGTTAAAGGAAACGATAGAAATGGCTCGACTTACCACATCGGGATTGAGGCGTGCTAAAATGGCGAAGGTGGAGAGTCTGTCACACAAGCATTTGGTTGTGCTGGAGTCGACGGGCACGGCTCTACAGCCTCGCGCAGACCAGGAGCCCAGCAACGACGAGCTGCGGAGCGGAGACAGACAAGAGCGCGGAATTAGATCAAATCCCTGCGCGATAAAACAGCTATTTCTCTAATCCAGCGCACACTGAGCCCGCCGTATGCGAGCCAGAGCGCGACTCCAGCGCACACTGAGCCCGCCGTATGAGAGCCAGAGCGCGACAAAAGACAGATGAATGGACGATGTGATGCAGCGCACACCTCTGCTTTCTGCATGGCCAGGTTAGCTGATGTAAAAACAGTTACAAAAATGTAAAAAAAATAATCATGTCCTGAAATAAAATAAAGTAAAACTTACCGTTTAAGTTAAAAATTGTTTATAATAAATGTATTTTATTTTTAATATTTTATTTATTAAATTATTATTGTTATTATTATTATTATTATTAAATAAATATGCAGCCACACACACAGAGTGCTGCAAATTCTAACCCTGGGTAAATATAATCCTGGGTTATCGTTCCTGTTTCACACTGGTCACATTTTATCCTGGGTTAGTAATCAATCTTGGGTAGCCATGCAGGTTTCGATTTTCACATGGGTAGGCTACATTTGTAAATCCTTAATTTAAACCCAGCATATTTATGAAACTAAAAACATTCAATGACAGGATGCGACTAGCACACACAAATTAAAGATGTCGGCAAATAAATTCGGTGGCTGTTTTAAGTCTACTGAAGCGTAGAAAAGCACAAACAAAATGACAAAGTTTATTAACTGCCGATTATACATTATCATTACAGCTCAACGCCATTTTCAACGTTCAAAGCTGAAAAAAAAAAACGCGCCAAAGTTTCTTCGCACTGTAGAAAGAGCATGAATAATTAATGAGGGAAGCGCTGACTCAGTATATGATTGGTCTGTTGATGAACAACACAAACCTAGCACCGCCACCTTTTTCACATCTCCGGGGCTGAGTTCCAGTTCATTTTTTATGCCCTTCACTCGCAAACTTCCCTTCGTCTTGTTTACTCGGATGTACGTCTTGATTACGTTGCATGAGTATTAAAAAAATAACAATATAAAAAAACTTGAGGATTTACAATGCTGATGACAGTTGAAACGCGTCATCACAGTCTTGTGAAAAGGGTCCATTGTTGACACGGAGTTCGGTGCTTTATTTTATAATAATAATGTTGGATAATTTTATAACGTTGAAGAATTTATTATTATTATTATTATTATTATTATTGCAGTTGTTGTTGCAGCAGTAGTTTCTTGCATCCCAAAACACACAATAGCACCAAACTACACAGAATCACTTTGAAATGAAAGCTCCCAAAGGGCAGTTTGGGGTAGCCTTTACACATGTGCTTAGCCTGCAGCAAGCCTTCCAAGTCTCTTTTACCTGTCAAAACTTTGTAAGTTTATAAAGTGTGGAGGAAAAGTGCAATGGAGCAGAGGACGGATATTACACTGGGACATTGTGACCTGGAGCACAACATGAAGGAAAAAAAGTGTCTTATGTTTTCTATTTACTATCTTGTGAATGTCAGCTATGCATGGTCTCAAGTGTTCAGATACAGAATAATGAACAAACTAATCAATTACTGGTATACTTTACAATAAGGTTTCATTTGTTAACATTAGTTAACTAAACTTCATTTATAATTTATTAATCTTAGTTAATCTCAACATTTACTAATACACATTACTAAAATCAAATGTTGTGTTAATATTATTTAATGACCATGAGCTAGCAACACAAACTAACAATGAACAGTTGTATTTTTTATTAACTAACATTATAACAAAGGTTAATAAATACTGTATTGCTCATTGTTAGTTAATGCTAGTATTTCTAATTAACTAATTGGACCTTATTGTAAAGTCTTAACATTTACTCAATGAAGAGTAAATGTTCTGAATTTCTGAATCAGTATTGGTTTGACTGTGAAAGAAAACTGTGAATGATATTAAAATATCACAGAATATTATAATATATGGAGAGATTAGACACACAGTCATACACTAAAAATAAATGTCAAAAGCTGACTTTTCATAAGATCCAAAGGAACATTAATCCACATCTTTCTATTTTTTGCAAGAAATTTATTCTGTTTTATGCTTCCCATGAAACTTGCATGCACCAATGCAGATGACAATAAAAGCATGAATACCATAAATACAAGTAAACCTTGAGGTTGCGGTTTGTGCCGGTGCCCAAAGCCACTCAATAATTAGTCCATTCCGACACCTACACAAATTTGAATCTCATAATCTTGATGAGAAACCCTCTTGACAGCATGAGTCGACTGTGTCTGATCTAACGCACAAATAATTGTAACATAGACCTCATAATGACATCAATGAAAGTGATATGAAAGTCATATCAAAACATACCCACTCCATGCCCAACTGATCCTAATAGCGAGCCATCAATCATGTAGCATTCTCTTCATGCAGCTGCAACGTGAAGTCAATATACTCACACACACACACACACAAACCCGGGGTTACCGGCACCATTCCAAACCCACTGTGCGGTAGAGCTCTGCAGTCTGGGATACCCATAATGCACTGGGGCTTGAAGAGCGCTGAGGGCCAAACAGTATAGCGCTGGAAGCACAGCGTGTTGCAGCCCCAGGGGAGGGCTCAGTGTTAACATTAGCACATAAACCTGAAACTCAATATATTATCACCCACTGCACAGACACTGCGCATGATACGATTAAGACTTTGTGTCGACCACACAAATATAAAGACAGCGCAGCATGGCTGTGTAATTGGATCATGGGCTTCCAGTCCAGCTGTAGTGTGCATGTTTGCAGAGAACATGCCAAGTGCAGATGCATGAGAAAAGCAAGCTTGAAAAACTATATATATTGTAATTTTAATGGTAAAAGTCTGCAAAAATTAAATTTTGAGCATATTTTAGTATTATTTATATACTACTTTTATCCACATTTTGAATTAGCTTTTATTTTTGTACAGTACTTTCAGGTTTCATTTAAATTTTTGTTCGATTTTTAGTAATTTTTTTATGTGCTTTTGTCATTTTTATTCATTTTTTGGATTTTTAATATTGCTATTTAGGTTTAATTTATTTTTATTTCAATTTTAGTTTTTATTTTATTTAATGAAATATTGATTAAATATAATATGAAATATTGTCTTAGCAAGTTACTAAACATATTTCATCTAATGTTTGTATTATTTAATTTCAACTTTATTTCAGTTAAGGGGGGTGGGGGGTGGGGGGGGTCCAATGCTGTTTCATGCATGTTGAGTTATTTACACTGTTAAAGAGTTGGATTCTCATGCTAAACATGGCCAAAGTTTCAAAAAACGATTTGGAGGTATAACAAGAGTATTTCTGTGCCAAATACACACTTCCGGGTTTTTTACAAGTTTCGGAAAGTTTTTTCGATCATGGCTCCTTATGACGTCATGAAGGGTGGAACTCCTTATATGGGCATTTCTTCCGGAAGAACGAGCCCATGCACACATTGACCAGAGCGAGAGCAAGAGCACGCCCATCAACGCGCTTCATTCAGCTGCACTGCACGGGACTTGCTCTGGAAGATGTCTCTAAAGAAGTGTGTTTTTGGTTGTAAGGGAAAGTTAACCTTGTTCAGCTTCCTGAAGAACCCAGCGTTACGTAAACGGTGGATGCATTTTGATTTTCCGTGGCAGAAACTGAGTTTTGCAAGTGTGTTTGTTGACGAACATTTTATAAACAAGGCCCAGTTCAACGCTGGATTTGCACATCGTTTGATACTGAAAGATGGAGCGGTCCCAGCTAGAAAAGATCCCGGTCATGATTCAGAACTGCAGATGGTAAGTGAAACGGCATCAAATGTCTGTGTTTTGTTGGCAATCGGTGCTCAAGTGCTCGTCACTCTTTAGCTCTGCCAACGGCACGCCTCCAGGAGCTCGGCTGTTTCCGGAGAGAATCGTAAAGCTGTATCTTTCTTTTATAAATATGATAAAACTAAATACTTTTTGGAGATATGAAGGATGCAGTACTACTCTATAGGTACTCAAGATGAGATTGGGTGAAATTGTGTGTGTTATGCCCCCTTTAAAGGGGTCATATGATGCTTTTTTAAAGATTATTATTTTGCCTGACATGGCTGCTTCAACACTAACTGCTGTTCCTGAAACCACGCCTTCTTTCTTTGCGTGCTCATTTGGGCGGCATTATGCAAATATTTTCACATAGTGAGGTAGATATGTGGGGGTGTGTTAGAACGAGGCGTTTTAGGGGGGCGTGTCAGAGTCTTAACTTTGATAAAGAATATCTCTTTGGATTTGAGACTTTAGTCTTTGCAACTTCAGGGATCTTATCTATGCACAATCAGCTTGTAACACTCCAAAGAGAAAGGAAAACTTGAAATCGCATCATATGACCCCTTTAACAAAAATATTTTAACAGTTTTAGTTTTAATTACCAACAATAACCCTGTTAATTGGTTAAAGGTAAGTTCCCTAACTATATGTTGAAAAACTGTAATAAATATAATAGGACATGTCATGTATTTACAGTAAAATACTGTTAAATGAAGTTTATGGAAGTGAAAAAGAACTTCCATAAACCTATTAATTTTCAGTGCAAAATGTAAATTAACGTTCCTAGAATTCCATGCGTAATTTTTTTTTACTGTAAATTTGTTTAATCCATAAAACCTAAAATGTTGCTTCTGTATTTTTATGGTAAATTCTGGCAACCACAGCTGCTGATTTTTTAAATTGTAAATTTCACAGATTTTTTTTACGCAGTAAATGCATGCAAAATGCCTCAAGTAAATCCATGAATGAGAAAGATCATGTAAGAACCAGCAAAAAAATAAATAAAAATCGCTACCGTGTGATTGAAGCGCGAGTCAACAGAAAGCCCACACTCTTTAAAGCTGTTAACTAAAAGACAGTCAGTGACAAGGACGCCTCCTCACATTCCAATTTCTCTCCCAAATATGAACTCATTAATCATAGCAGCTGTCCAAGATGGATTTTAATTTTGCACCGAACACAAACCAGCCCCGGCTCCCCTTCGCTCAATGCGGGCAGATTATATTTCACTGTTCTCTTCCTGTCTCTCAGCCTCTCTCTTCCGCTCCCTTTATCTCACTCCTTCCTCTCTGTCACCATTCTCCTTGTCTTTTCTTTTCTTCTCATTTCTCTGCATTATTGTGTTTTATTCTTGTGTTATAAGTGGTGCTTGGTGTACTATTACTTTTCTAAGAAATCGTATGTATAATATTTTTTTGTCCAAAAAGATTGTTCATAGTCTTATTTACTGTATATACCACTTATAAGGACAAAAATAATATACACATTTTTTATGTTTTTGAGGCTGATAGTCTTATTTAGCTACTGTATATACTACTTATAATTACTAAAATAATATACACATTTTTAATGTTTTTGAGGCTGTTAATCTTATTTAGCTCCTGTATATACTACTTATAAGGACTAAAATAATATACACATTTTTTATGTTTTTGAGGCTGATAGTCTTATTTAGCTACTGTATATACTACTTATAATTACTAAAATAATATACACATTTTTAATGTTTTTGAGGCTGTTAATCTTATTTAGCTCCTGTATATACTACTTATAAGGACTAAAATAATATACACATTTTTAATGTTTTTGAGGATGATAGTCTTATTTAGCTACTGTATATACTACTTATAAGGACTAAAATAATATACACATTTTTAATGTTTTTGAGGATGATAGTCTTATTTAGCTACTGTATATACTACTTATAATTACTAAAATAATATACAAATTTTTAATGTTTTTGAGGCTGATAATCTTATTTAGCTCCTGTTCATACTACTTATAATTACTAAAATAATATACACATTTTTTATGTTTTTGAGGCTGCATTTATTTGATCAAAAATACAGTAAAACTATAAAATTGTCAAATATAGTTACAATTTAAAATAACGGTTTTTATTTAAATAAAGTATAAAATGTAATTTATTCCTGTGATGCAAAGCTGATTTTTTAAACAACCATTACTCTAGGCTTCATTGTCACATGGTCCTTCAGAAATCATTGTAATATGCTGATTTGGTGTTCAATAAATCTAATTATTCTTCTAATTATGTTAAAAATGGTTGTGCTGCTTAATATTTTTGTTATCGTTCCCCCCCCCCCCAGGATTCTTTGACAAATATAACGTTCAAAAGAATAACATTATTTATTCAAAATAGATTTAAAAAAAATAAAAAATAATAAGTTTTTACTGTCACTTTTGATCAATTTGATACATCCTTGCTAAATAAAAGTATTAATTTATCTTAAGAAAAGTGAGTAGTGACTCCAAACTTTTGAACTTTTCACCAGTAAGAAACCACACATGACACTCCAGCAATACACTAAAAACCACATGAAGCACTTTTGCACTGGCAAAGCAATGCCCTGATAACCAATAACAACACCAGTGAGTTTTGCACTTTTTAACAGGATTTTAAAATTCTATTTTTCTCAGTCTGTTCTCCCTTGAGGCAACGGCAGAAAACTTTATATCTTTAACATATCTATATGTAACCATCTAAATGCAAATGTTCCACCCACACTGCATTAAGCGCTATGGGCACAAACTAGTCTTTTGCAGTTTTAAAAGACAAAAGAGAGTGCAAACAGATGGATGTGTAGGGGGTGAAAGTACAAGCATGACCAGGAGGCCCACGGTTCTTTGTTAAAGTACAACATAATGCTGGTGCTCGTCTGTCTGATCATCTGACTGCCTCTTTCAATAGAATCTGGCTTCAGAGACGCAGTCTCAATTTGCTTGCTCTCTTTGCAGAGGAAAAAGAAGAAATAAGATTCTGTTCATGTTTGCTAATGAAACCGAACTTATTCTCATGGTAATACATAATGATTGCATTTCCTATTTCAGCTCTTCAGTGTGTATTTTGAATGTGACCATAATAATTCTGATGTAAATTCCGCAGCTGAAGCACGTAGAGTGACGCTGTCAGGATTTACCTGTTATGTTTCTCGGCACTAGTAAAGACGTACCAATCACGTCTGTGCCAAGCATTCATTCATTTAGATGATTGAGATGATTATTGAGATGACAGGATGGATTTCCATTTGAATGCCAGGTGCCAATACTTTACTCATAGATTTAAACCTTCATACTTTATAGTGCATAAAACGTCCTGAGATCTGAATGCAGCTCATAGGAGGACTGTTTTTTTTAATGATAAATAGAAACATATAAAGGAAACGTGGGATTAAATCTACATCTGTGTAACTGCTATTTCTCTAACACACTCAAAAAATACATAGTAAATACATACTAAAAATAATGATGTATTTAGAATACTAAAATACTAATAAAATACTAAAAACACTTTACAATAAGGTTCAATTTATATTAATGTTAATCTCTACATATACTAATACACTTTTCACATGTAAAGTTCTAGAAATTGGCATACACCAGTGTTTAAAATTTGGGTTCAGATAAGATTTTTAAGTTCTCATATGTTAATGTCCTTATTTATGTATTTATTTGTTTGTTTGTTCAAAAATACAGTATAAAACAATAATTGTGAAATATTATTACAGTACAATTTAAAATAACTTTTCTTTTTTTAAATATATTTTACATAATAAATATATTTGAAAGATTCCAGTGATGGCAAACAACACAATATTTATAAATCAGCACTACCCAAGATTAATAAATGCTGCAAAAAAAAATGTTGTTCACAATAGGTTCATGAATCATGATACCTTGGATTATCAAATCGAACCTTTTTTTAAAGTGCTACCAAGACAATACAAAAATGAAAGCTTTCATATGGCAGTATGATCTATTTACCATCATCTTTCTACCATCATTTTTTCTAACAATATTTTTGGACAAACTACTGGTGGCCCTCAAAAGCAGTTGGTCTATTGCATCTCAGGTTGCAAGGATCACAGCAATCAGTGTAAATATTCGTGATGCACATTTGGCTTTTACCAATACTAGTTGTATCTTGAATATATAAACCAACATAAATATAAAAATAAAATGTCTACAGCCACCAAAGTACCTCGTGTTAACATGCTAAAACACTTATACAACTTTATCCTTGTAACATATTTCAGTTCTTCTACAGAGAGTGCATGTCTGCAGCCAGAACCTTCTTGTCTTTTTCCCTCTCTCTGCTCTTTCTAACCATTTTCTCTTGTAGCCTGCTTTGTGTGTCTCATCTCTGCCTTAATTGAAAGTGTGTTTTCAGTGATGTGTATACAGTACAGAAGGAATGTGGCATGCAAAAATCATCCAGTGTCAAAATGGAGTCAGTGCTGGGTCAAGTGAAGATCAAGGCAGCTATCTGCAGGATTCAACATCTCCTGTCACTGAGGTTGCATCAGTGTAACATACATTTAATATACTACAGCATGTTGTCTCTAACCCTTTATCAACACACCCCTCTTTAAGCCTTGGAAAATACACCCTACTGTATGACTGAAGATTTCCTGCAAAACTCAACAGACAGCAAAAACAGATTTAAATTAATAAACGGCTTCTCACCTGTCATTCTCATCCCAGGAAATGCAGGTTTGGTTTGTGGTACCCTGTGGAGAGAGTAAGAGTGCGAGAGGCAGAGAAGGATGTCACCTTGTGATTTTGCCTTGCAAATATGTATTGGTATACATTACTATTTTTCAAGTAGTTTTTGATGCTGTGTGTGGTAGTAATGATAACTGTTGTATGTTAATCTTTAATTTTTATTTTTTTTTTTCCAAAAATGTGAAATCTTGGACTTGCTAACAGTCAATTAAGTTGGGAAAAAAGGTAAGCAGGACAGGAATAACAGCAATATTGAGGACACTAAAAATAAATAAAAAGATGTACATATAAACACAAACTTAATTGAAAATAATTAATGGAATAATAATAATACATTTAAAAATGATAGAAAACAAAAATGAAAATAATTAAAACATTTTTTTCCAAAAATAGTGAAATTCTAGAAAATGGCTAAACACTCATACAACTAGAAAGTAATTATTAAAATAAAATTAAAAGTAATTAATTCAAATTAAATTACAATTAAAAATCATCCTACAGTATGTGAGAGAAAAAGTCCCATGCTGGAAGAATTCTTCTAAAAGAATAAAATTAAAAATGAATTCATGTTAATGTGTCAGAGTGACATAGTTTGAATAATATTGGAACAAGGCTGTACACATATCGCGTTTGATGCAACATATGGGTTTAAAGGGCAGACTGACTTACATTGTAAAGGTGTGAGAACTCTATCTCTAGTGGAGTTGAGAGGGAGCTGGGAGTGGGTTTGATTGTCACAGAGATCACCCTGGAGTTCAGCACTGTGCTATTTCTGTGAAAATATAGAGAGAGATGAGAGAAAACATGAGGACTGCAAAAAAAAACAAAAAAAACAGAAGGGGGAAGAAGAGAGGAGGTCACGATCTTCAAAGAAGCTCCCATGTTCCCATGTGACAAACATAGTATGAGACACTTCACTTTGTGCTGTGGTAAATGTGCATGTCATTTGCTCATAGAGTATATTCTTTTTTGACACTTTTTGTGTCACCAGATATCTGTTTCAAAATCACCACATTCCAAGAAAAAGAGAAAAATGAGAAAGACAGAAAACAGACAGAACAAAAATTACCAACCTTTCTGTTGAACCCTAAAGATGTTTCGATACATTTAGACATCTTTCAACTATTCAGAAAGGCTATAAAACTATTACAAGGCAAGTGTATTTTTTATGTCTTTGTTTTTATGTAATTCTTTCTGATATTGCAGAGTGTCCTTTTAAAAGTCCCTTTAAAGGAACAGATCACCCAAAAATGAAAATGTCATTTACTCACTGTCATGTCATTCCAAACCTTTATGACTTTCTTTCTTCTATACGGGCATAAAATACATTTTGAGAAATATATATATATATATTTTTTTCTCTGTTCATCAGTCAGTGCTAAATGGTTAGGCATACACATATAGCTGTGAAAATGTTTGCCAAGATAAATAAAATATAAAATATGACAATAATGGTATGAAATCTATCACTACTTTAGCTCAAATAATGCTAAAACTTGAAAAAGTGTATCAGGTTGGTCTTTCTTTAAAACCAAGAAAACAGCAACAGAGAGAGAAACCAATTGAAATGCACAAAGTCTCAACATAAAATGAAAGCAAAGTCTCACCTCTGTAGAGAGAGAATACTGCCCAAGTTTCTATACAGTACGATACCAGTCACAAATGCTGAGGCGTCATCTTCATCTATAACACAAACACACACACACATACTTTATAACAGATATACAGTATCACCTCAGTTCCTGTTAAATAAAAAGGCATAAAGCAAAGCGATGAGGAAAAGAAATGATATAAGAGGTCATTGAGATACAGACTTGATTGGTGTGTAATCAAACCCTTTATTTAGAGCCCTGTAATGTAACTGGAGGTGAGATTGCAGGTTGCTCTCTCTCTTCCTGTTTCTCGCTATTTTACCCTGCAGCTTCTCACCTATGAGTTGGGCAACATGACTAATCACTTAACATATGCTTGCACAGACCTTCATTACACACACAAATACACAGCGTGTTCCAAGAGTTATCCTTTTTTAATGAACACACACAGGTTTCCATGTTTTATGGGGACATTTCATAGGGGTATTGATTTTTATACTGTACAAACTGTATATTCTTTGCCCGTACCGAACCCCCTAAACCTACCCCTCACACAAAACTTTCTGCTATTTTAGATATTCAAAAAACTTCATTCTGTATGATTTATAAGCTTGTTTCCTCATGGGGACCAAAAATGTCCCCACAAAATCAAAATTTACTGGTATTACTATCCTTGAAGGAACATTTCATTTGGTACTCATAATGTAGGGAACACCAGGTGTATACACACACACACACACACACACACACTAGTGTTCAAGACTTTGAGGTCAGAATGATTTTTTAAAGAAATTAAAATTTTTATTCAGCAAGAATGTACTTTCTATTCATTAAAGAATCCTGGAGAAAATAAATGCATCATGGTTTACACAAAAATATTAAAATGATTCCTTTATACAACAAGAATGCATTAAATTGTTTAAAAGTTACCGTAAAGACATTTGTTTTTCATGGTTTCCACAAAATACTAAGCAGTACAACTGTTTGCAATATTGATAAAAATAAGAAAATATTATTTGAGCAGCAAATCAGCATATCCATCTGGTTTTCAAGCTACACTGCTCTAAATCATGCCAAAACCTGTGGCAGACTGGCATGAGCTGTAAGGGAGAGAAAGAGTGAGAGTCTGTAGGGGGGTGCCAGGCGGCGGGCAGAGGCCACAGCTCCAGGGCTGGCAAATCAGCATATTAGAATGATTTCTGAAGGATCATGTGCCACTAGAGTAATGGCTGATGAAAATTCAGCTTTGCCATCACAGGAATAACTTGCATTTTAAAATATATTCAAATAGAAAACAGCAAATTGTAATAATATTTACCAAAATTACAGGGCTGCAGCTGAGGTCCCATGGGCAAGAACACAGACCGATGGAGGGGGACAGGGGGCTGGGGGCGTGACAGTTTTGAGCTCCCTCGGGGTAATCGGGTTTCTGCTTGCCCACCCCTCTTCCCCTCCTTTTAATACGCCAAAGCCATGATAATGCGAACAGATGAGACCCGAGAGGGCATTTATGGACAACACAAGGTACTAGAGGAATGTACATTGTTTAAAAAAAAATTAAGTTTGAGACTTTCAAGTCCACATGAAATATTTTCCAGTTTACGGGACCTTTGAGCCACAAAGAAATGTGAATTACTTGAAACTACATAAAAACCCATGTTAGACCAACAGAATTCCCCAAAATGCTGTTCTGACTAGTCTAAAATAGTTAAGATAACAATTAAAGAACCTACATTTTGAATATATCAAGCTGCATTGAAATTTTTAATTTTCTCAAGAATTCTTTTTTTACATTGAATTTAAAAAAATGGTAGGATTTACTTAGAAACTATTTTTACTCAGAAATTGCTAGTCAATTTTACAAATAATTACAAAGAAATAGCAGGTAACACATTGAATTAAATGTGAACTTTTGAAGTAGAAAGACGGAAATAATATTTTATAGTAAAACTTACTCCAATAATCTTTTAATTAATTGAAAAAATATATCTTTTACAGTATGCTAATTTAATGTCTTTTTGCTTAATATTTTAAGACCTCTTAAGAAATTTACTTTATTTACCTAAATGTATATATAGTTTTACCATAATTTACTATTTTTACTTTTAATCATTTTTATTTCAACCATGACTTCAAACAACAACCTAACACTATAACAGTTACGCATTTAGATTAAGGTTATTGATAAAAAATTTACAGATGAATTGTTACATAACAATAAGATCTGTAACATGCATTTAGAAAATAAATCAGGTTTTAATAGTTTTAATTTCATGCCAACTTTAATAGTGGTGTTTTGTTTGTGAACGAATAATGTAGGTGAAAGAATCATAAAGTGTTCTTTTGAAGAGCAGAACCAAAATTACTGTTTTACTGTATTTTTGATCAAACAAATGCAGCTTTGGTGAGCATACAAGAGACTTCTTTCAAAAACATTAAAATAATCTTACTGACCCAAACTTTTGAACGTGTTCTTTTGAAGAGCAGAACCTTTGTAAGAATAAAAGTGTTTTGTTCTGTTACAATGTGTTTAATTGGATTCAGTCTATCAAATTCCTCTCTCATTCTAAAATCATCTTTAATATAAAAGCTCATCTCAGCATGTCCAAAGCTTGACGACCTGTCAATCCAGCACTGGTGGCATGGCAACAGATCTCCCAATGGGAAAGGGAATTAAACCTAATTGCGCCTGATTGGCTCCTGCCGACTCCTGATTAAGTAGCAACTCCTCTATTAGTATAGTCGCGGGGGAAGAAGCATCTTAAATGACCTGTAACGTCGGACATGGCAAGGATTAAACAGCCTACAGCAATCAGCTCTCTAGCGAAGGAGATAAAATCCGTCAAACAAACAGAGATTTGTTATGAATACAGTTTTCTACTGTTTTACTAGAGTAAACAGCACAGAAGAGACATTAAATTATTCAGAGATAAAAAAGGGAATGGAATGAGTAGAATACAGGCATAAAAATGGAATTTACTGATAAAATTGTTACATTTTATGAATTCGGGGAAAAAAAATTAAACAGATTTCATAATGTCCTAGATGAGCAAGCGCACAATGCAGGCCAGATTCAAACCTGTGCTTCCCATATGAGCACCAAGGCTCAATGTGTCTGTGTACCACTAGGCCACTAGAGATAAAATCCGTCAAACAAACAGAGATTTGTTATGAATACAGTTTTCTACTGTTTTACTAGAGTAAACAGCACAGAAGAGACATTAAATTATTCAGAGATAAAAAAGGGAATGGAATGAGTAGAATACAGGCATAAAAATGGAATTTACTGATAAAATTGTTACATTTTATGAATTTGGGAAAAAAAAATTAAACAGATTTCATAGTGTCCTAGATGAGCGAGCGCACATGAGCGCACATGAGCGAGCGCAGTTGTGTGAGACTTTGTGTTTCTTACCTGGTTTTCCAGTGACCAGGATGTTTTTAGCCACTCTGGCTTTGTCCTCTGAGTTGCGAGCCCAGTCCACCATCCCCCTCCACCCCTTCATGGGGAAAGTGATATCTGCATTTCCTGCGACAGGCCGCTTGTGAATACTCAACACTGGAGAGAGAATCCAGAGGGAACTGTAAGATCCATGGCAACACCAATATCCTGACTCACTGCACAGCGATCACATCTCAACTAGAGAAAGTGTCATGCTGTCAGATGACTCCCCCATACAAACTCTCTCAGCTCAAACGCTTTCATTCTCTTATGATCTCAGCCTTCTGCTGCCAGCCATATTCTCTGTACCACTTCACGGCGACAGTATTTTAATCACTGAATGAATTCCCGAAACTTGCATAAGAAGCATTTTTATTTATGAAACTCGAAAAATAAATCCGTGCAAATCTTTTATAAAGCCATTTGTACTTTTCACATCAATGTGATGGAACAATTTACATACCAATGGTTTTACGTATGATTTATACAGAAATTTGCACTGCCTGTGTTTCAAGACTTTCAAACTAAGTAACCAACTAATTAATCTCAGCTTCAGAACTTGTGTTTACAAGATACAGGGCCTACATAATGTTAGACATCATGTTTTTCTTCTACTATATAAATACAGTAACTAACTGGGTAGTTTCACTTTTTTGACAGACAGTACAGAGGAAATATATTTCAAATAAAAAAAAAATATTTTAAACTTCCTATTCATTAAAAAATACTGAAAATGTTAACACAGTATCCACAAAAATATTAAGCAGCTCAACTATTTTCAACACTGATAATAACCAGAAATGCTTATTGAGCAACAAATCGGCCATTTTCTGAAGTATCATGTGCTGAAAATTCAGCTTTGCCATCACAGGAATAAATTACATTTTAAAATATATTAAATTAGAAAACAGTTATTTTAAATTGTAACATTTCACAAAATTATTGTTTTAACCACTAGGCCATGGCCCTGACATCACATTTGTGACCCTGGACCACAAAACCATAAGTATAAGTCATAAGTCATAGGTAGCACAGGTATAACAACACATTGTATGGATCAAAATGATAAAATTTACTTTTATGCCAAAATAATTAGGATATTAAGTAAAGATCATGTTCCATGAAGATATTTTGTAAATTTCCTACCATAATTGTCCTCATTTGTAAGTCGCTTTGGATAAAAGCATCTGCTCAATGACTAAATGTAAATGTAAATATAAATATATATAGGTGATTTTGTGGTGTTGTAATTAAAAGCACAAGCACAAAAAAGATTACAGCCATTTAAAACTATGAGAAAGGGTCATAGGTAATCACCCATGTTCCAGATTTTCAAATAGTTGCATCTCGACCAAATATTGTCCTATCCTAACAAACCATACATCAATGGAAAGCTTTCAGATGGTGTATAAATCTCATTTTCAGTAAATTGACCCTTATGACTGGTTTTGTGGTCCTGGGTCACATTTTTGCATCGAAATCTAGGTTGCAGTAGAGACATTAAATTACTTGGTGAAAAAGAAGGGAACTGGTAGGCCAGATTTGATCAATGTACGTGTGTGCTGATTGTTACTAACTCTGTACAGTACTATTCATGTTCTTAAGTTCAAGTTCTTGTGCATTATTTTCCATCTATTGATGAATGTTTGGTGTTACATATACATCTGCATCTCAAAGCTTTGCATGGGACTGATAGGTCATTGCTGTAGGACAGGTGTTGTCACAAAGGGAGAATCTGAGCTCATGGGCAGCTCAGTGATTCAGAGGTAAACAGAACCTCTCACACACCCTTTTAAACTCTGCCAGCTGCGGCCCACAACGTATGACCATGAAGGTTCATCTTCCCGCTGTTTTTACGAACCTGGGTGCTGAGTAAACCATAGTCCGTTCTGTATGCAGGAGAGATGTGCGAGGTTTAGAGTGTGATTCCAAAGCTATAAAAATGCCTAGAGCTATACATATTTGGAAATCAGTGTGAGCAACATATCAGATTCATTGCTCAGGGATTGGTCATGATTTCCAAAGGGATATTGTCTGTTACTGCATTCTGATGAATATGAAAATGTTCAAGGTGTGTGAAAGTGTGTGTGAGTAATAGTGTTGGTGGTGATTTCAACTGGTCATCTGTTTCAGCACCATCAAAAGCCTAAATTGATTTTAATTAAACAAATTATATACACTATCGTTCAAAAGTTTGGGATCAGTAAGATGTTTTTAAACAAAGTTTCTTATGCTCATCAAGGCTGTATATATTCGATTAAAAATACAGAAAAAACCCTGTAATTTTGTAAAATATTATTGCAATTTAAAATAACAGTTTCTATTTTAATATACTTGAAAATATAATTTATTCCTGTAAAGCAAATTCATTTTCATCATCCATTACGCCAGTCTTCAGTGTCACATGATCCTTCAGAAATCACTCTAATATGCTGATTTATTATCAATGTTGGAAACAGTTTTTGCTGCTTTATATTTTTTTGGAACCTGTGATACTTTTTTCAGGATACTTTTATGGATAAAAAATGAAAAAGAACAGCATTTATTCAAAATAGAAATCTTGTGTTACAATATACACCACCGTTCAAAAGTTTGGGGTCAAAATTTTTTTCTTTCTTTTGTGAATACTTTTATTCAGCAAGGATGTGTTAAATGGATATAAAAAGTGACAGTAAAGACTTATATTGTTAGAAAAGATTTCTATTTTAAATAAATGCTGTTCTTTTTAAATATTTATTCATCAAAGAATCCTGAAAAAAGTATCACAGGTTATAAAAAAAATATTAAGCAGCACAACTGTGTTCAGCAATGATAATGCATAAGCATATCACGATTTCTGAAGGATCATGTGACACTGAAGACTGGAGTAATGATGCTGAAAATTCAGCTTTGCATCACAGAAATAAATTGTATTTTGAAGTATATTGAAACAGAAAACCAATATTAAAAATTGAAATAATATTTCACAATATTACTTTTTTCAGTATTTTTGATCAAATAAATACAGCCTTTATGAGCGTAAGAGACATTTAAAAATCTTACTGATTTTTTTTAATCTGACAAACATTTCAATGCCACTGTGTGTGTATGTATGTATATATATATATATACTGGGCGCCTCCTTCAGGAACACGGGGGAAGTGAAGGCTCTGGCGGGCTGTGATCTGCTCACCATCTCTCCGGGGCTGCTGGGAGAGCTCAGCCAGGACCACAGCGCAGTGACGTGTTCCCTCACGCTGCAGGGAGGTGAGCATCAGCTCACATGCATCTCTCACGCTGAACCGTCCGGTTTGACATGATTTCAGCAAACTGATCTCTCCTTCAGCAAAGGAGTGTGATCTGGAGAAGGTGCACCTGGATGAGAAGAGCTTCCGCTGGCTGCACAATGAGGACCGCATGGCTGTGGAGAAACTCTCCGACGGGATTCGCAAATTTGCTGCAGACGCCATCAAACTCGAGGCCATGATCAAGGTACAAAAACACGCTTTTCTTCATTTGAGTCAGAGTTTTTTGATTGTGATCACATTTGCAGAATGCAGAAATGTGATCTGAACGCTTCTGTAACTGAAGACAGTCCGTTAACTCTGTTGGGTGAGTTAAAGCTCCTTGACGAGGCTCAGTAATGAAACTCTAGTATTAGAGCACAGTTAAACACATTGGGTTAGCCCATAAATCATATGTTGTCTTGTTTGCTGCTTTTCTGTTTGCACTGTGTTTAGGGTGATGTGCACATGCAGCTTGATTTTATTTATTTATTTTCCCTCTGTTTGTTTCAGGAGAGGATGTTTAATGTGAAGAACGGCCAGTAGTGAAGCAGAGAGACTCATTCAAGGACCAAACCCTTCACTCCCGCTCTGATAGGCCACTTTAGCTGCACTCTCTGGGCAGAAGATGTGACTGACTTCAGTCTTAAGAAAGAATACAGCGTGCTGTGTGTTTAGAAGCCATTCATTTTAACCAGAAACAGATCCTTTGAGCCTTAATGGAGTGCTCTGATTAAACCATAAACCCAGACATAATCTGACAGAAGCTGAAATATCACATGGTCCTAAGTATTCAGACCCTTTGCTCAGTATTTAGTAGAAGCACCCTTTTGATCTAATACAGCCATGAGTCTTTTTGGGAAAGATGCAACAAGTTTTTCACACCTGGA